ACTGTAAACATGAAGACAATATCGAAGGTACAGTTTATGACTAAGAACTGTCTATAACGTTAAACATGAACACAACATTATTGATGCAACCGACACTAGGAACTATTTCCCATAACTGTAAACAGTGACACTTGAAGAGAAATTGTGCAATACGAACACCTTCGGTCAAAAGGGTCAAGTGTTTTTAAAAAATGTGTAACAGTACATTATGTTTTACTGCCCCATCAGCACAAGCAAAAATTTAGGTTGCTTGGAAGCAGGGCTACTTAACTTCCGGTCAGCCTGCCTGCTTGCCTGTCAGGAGGGACCAACTCGGGCTGAGACTGAGAGGGATGATGCGATGTCCCAGCAGACAAACAGACGGAGATCCGTGACAAGAACTCCCTCCAAATGGGATTTGAACTCACATGTTCTGTGTGTGGTGATGATGAACCTGACTGGGTGTTTCACACAACTCATACCGTCAGCGATAACGTTGGACACTAACAACAAAAGACTGAGACTCCCAGTGTCCAAAATGCAGGCTTGAAGGCAAGACAAGGTAGTTTTTTTGTTTTAGTAAGAGTTTCACAGCCCTTGCAACACCACTATGTCATATAAGTGCCAAAGATTAGAGATGTTACAAGAGAGTAACAAACATAAAAAAAGAAGGAGCAGAGATAAGGACGAGAGATATTACATAGGAAAGAGTTTGCAAACCACACCCACCAGAGCACCCGTCCACCACCCACCTATTTGACTAAAGATGACACTCCTTTTTATTAGACTGAAGATGTGTGTGCCAGAAGACATCTGCACAGCCTACATTATTTCATTATTCAGAGTCATTATCTAACCGAGAGATATCTTTTTCTCAAGAGGAAAATGCATAACTTGCAATGTCAACAATGAATCGTAGAGAACACACACATAATCTCTTCTGCAGTTGTATTCATCATCATCAGACCTTGACAAACTACTATTATCATCATCTTGGCCAAGATGGCCATTCTCACTGATGTGTATTCCGACTCTGTACAGATTTAAAAGAAGCCTAAAAGACTTGGTGAAAAGCACCATGCTCAGAAATAAAATGCAACGTACAGCAAAAAAAAAATTTTTTAATTACATACAAAAGTAAGCAATTCTTGTGACATTTTTTTCATAAAAAACAACAGAACTTACATCACCTGACCTTGTTTTCAACAATAAACATTTTTTTTTATAACTGCACAATTCTGTAAATAATAAGTCAAGGAAAATGAATAGAAAAGTTTGAGGGAAATAGAAAAGTTTGCAGGAAAAAAGACGAAAAAGAAAAAATGTATGTCGCTGGGAGAATCTACACGAGTGAAAAAGGCAGGTGGTCAAGTTGCCAAAAGCCTCTGAAGTCAACAAATAGTTTAAAAACAATACAAATGCAAAATACAAACCAAATAGAACCAGAAAAGGTTGACCCATCCAAAAAAAATATACTCCTTCAAAATAATTCAAATTTGTTTGATAAACAAAGTAATATATCAAAAGACACTTTTTTAAAATTCAAAATCTGAAGAACTCACTCTAAAATTGTTCTCAAAAGTGAGAGGGGAGAAATCAAAATTTAAAAAATCATAACATTTCCTCCGATAAGGACAAAAAGGCCGTATCCAGACTCAATTTTCCTGTAACATTCACTCGCATACACATAGTCAACGATGAGACACACGTGAGGAAGAAGAAAAAAACAAAGTGGAAACCGACGAACAACAGTCTCCAAAACACGTCTTCAAATGGTCAGCGAATTAGCCAAAAAAAACAACTAGTTTTTCACCACTCCTGTTTATTTCTCCTTCAACTGACCAGAGTGACAGAATCTCCGAGACAGCAGCACCACCTGGTGTGACGTGGCGTGTGCCTCTCCGCTTGCCGAGGATGCTACCTTGTCAAAAGTAACCAAGTTATCAATCTACTTGGATTATTTTTCTTTAAGACAAATTTGAAAATTATACGATTCTCTCTAGCTGTGTCTTCTTCTTTGAGTCGTACAGTAATTAACTATCAACAATTTCAAAATTAGCAAATCAAATTTGGCAAAGTTGTCATGGCAAATTTTGTTCCCCAGCAGAGAGTCCTGCATGAAACATTTCATTCCCATTGTTACCGTTACCAATTGGAAATTGTTTGGTTGGTGTAAACTTTTCTTGATAAAAAGGGATTACAATATAAAAAATATATTCTCACAAGTTCCAGAGGTAGGAAGACTTCAGGTAAAGATTGCCGTGTAAGGACATGGATAAAAATAAAATCGAGGCAAATCAAATTCATTTGAGGACAGAACATAACATTGCACTGAGCTCGCAGCCACTTGCTAGGTAAACAACTTGTTGGTGCAGGGCTGCTACCAAGGACAAATCGTCCCTTTAAGGGTAAAGTGTCAAATTAAATTAGCAGAGGGTCGAAAAAAAGAAATTCCACTACAAAGGAAGGCCAAAACAATGCCGTAAGCACTCCACTCCAGCGTCTCCCCATTACAGAAAAGGAAAAGTCAGTCATAGACTTCAACGTTACTCTGAAAAAAAAAATCTGGAAAAAAACCCAGATAAATCTACCTGCATAGTTGGATTTCAAGTTAATCTTTGAAAATTGATTTACTGATTGTTGATGCCCCATGCCCCCATCCCCACACTCGAGATCATCGAGGAGACGGGCAGCTTCAATCCTGCATTTTCAACACCAATGCAGACAGAGCAAACAAAGAAATCACAGATGTCGTAGTGATCAGTCCAGAAGGAGCATATATTTTAAAAAAGCACTCACTGTTTTACAGAATGATGAAAAGTTTGACAGGTTCTGAATGAGAGACTCCCTTGTGATATTCTGGCCTCTTGGCAGCTATGATTTCTCCCCCCTCCCCCAACACCACTCCCACCCACACCCCCACAGCTGTTCAACAAAAGCACAGAGGTGTGTTAAAGAGCGGGTGAATCATAAAGAATGAATATCCACCAAAAAGAAGACGTGTAAGTATTTTTCTTCAACGACCCTGTAAATGCACTCTGACCTTACCACAATATCATCATTCATCACATGTTCAGATGTTCTAAGCCCACAATTTTGAATAATCTTATTTTAAATTGCAGTTTCTTAATCTATAGTGTAAGTAGCATGAGCTCCAGAAGTATTTTGTCAAAATTCAGATTCAAAATGTGTTTCTTTTGAAAGCATGAAAAGATACATAATTTGAGTACGACTTTTAAGATGAAAGTTCTTTCTTTCTCCTGAACAACTACCACAAGCTGCCGACTAAAAATCCCAAGGCAGGACAGGTTTGTGGGAAGTTTTTTTTCTGCTTCACAGTAACAGTCAAATCTGCTCTACTACCAGTCATCTTTTCGAAAACAATCGCCCTACAAATGACAACAATACTTCCCACTTCCCCACTCGCGGTTCATTTTTCCTTACATTAAAATGACACTGCCCTAGATGTCCCCCTGTCAAAGACAACCGCTCTTCTCCTCCAAAACTACTGGTGGCCCACAAAAGGCTTCACTATGCTCAATGTTAAGATAGCCAGTAGGTGAAATAATAATAATAGATAGCATTTGTATAGCGCAAATCCTCGCTCAACAGCAAGCTCTATGCGCTTTACAATCTATACTATTACCCTTGCAGACCTGAGAGCATTCTGAAACAACTTAAACTTCTTGGGAGGCATACAGTGAAAACAGCCATTTAAAGGCGCTAAATCACTAACATACTGACAAAATCTTTCATGGTCTACGGCCGGGTACCCATTCCCATCTGGGTCAAGTGAAAAAAATTTGTGTAAAGTGCTTTTCCCAAGGACATAACGCTGGACCCGCCGCTCGAACCCCCTAACCCGCAACTTCATTATTACAAGTCCGGCAGCCAAAATCAGCAGACCACCGACGCCACGACAAAAAAAAAAAATCACGCAAAAATCTAAAAGACCTGCTGGGAGCTAAAATAAGTCAAACTGATTCGATATGGCAGTGGAGATTTTCTAATTAAACATTGCCAAAACATGGGCACCATATATTCCTCAACAATGATAATAATAATAATAAAAATCATAACCATAAATCATAATGACAATACTAATATGAGGAGCAACAAGAACTGAGACTGCCATCACATCAACAGTTTTGTATGTACAAATTTCTACATCTTTTGGAGATTATATATATACATACACACACACACACATTCCCACACATACATACAGGCGAGCCTGCTCTAAAGGTCACCTGCATAAGACAATCATTTCCCACTTCTCCCCTTGCATTTTTTAAAAACTGTTATAATACCACTGTGGAAGGCGGACACCTTTCTCCTTGACCACGGCTTGCTGTCTTAGACAGTTTTGACAGTGTGTGTGAGTGTGTGTGTGTGTGTGTGTGTGTGTGTGTGTGTGTGTGTGTGTGTGTGTGTGTGTGTGTGTGTGTGTGTGTGTGTGTGTGTGTGTGTGTATGTGTATGTGTGTATTATGCACACACATACATACATATATATAAAATTATACATCATGGTAAATCAGTAGTACGGATAGTTGGAAGAGTATACTTCATAAACTGATTAGCTACTACCGGTGTAAGGTAGTTACATTATATAAACAGAGTAAACAATACAAAAGATATGGGAGTGAGGTGATATTTCACGGAGAGTCAGGTAATCTCGTTGGGTCTGCTGCTACATAAACATCTACAGCCTCCAAACCGACATGGGCTGCTATTGTCGTAATTGCACACCAAATATCAGAACAAGGGTTGTTGTTTTTAAAAACACACAACCAAAAAAAATTTAAAATTTGAGTGCACAAACACAGAGCAAGAACTTTGAACTCTTTGATCACCATGCATTATTCAAATTTGATCATGTGACTTCAGATCTTGCGACAACAGGAAGTAGCAGCAGCCTAACCCCCCTGTTGGTCACAAGTTCCCGCAGCTGGGGGGTGGGCGCTAGACAATGACAAAGATATGAAAAGGGATTTTTTTTTTTTTGACATTTTTTAAAAATCGTCAATCTGGAGTCCCTCATATCCGCTTGTCGCAGACAGCACTGTTCACAGACTTGTGACTTGTGCTGTAGAAAATTGCCCAAACGTGGGGGAAGAAACTGTAACCAATCACACACGCCAAACCCCCCCAAAAAAACAACAACAAAAAACAACCCAAATCAATCAACAGGTCCTTGTTTTTAAAGAGCCGGCCGCTGCAAACCTGAAATAGCTTCAGTAAATGTTCCAGGCAGGAGAGCCAGAGCCAGCCAGATCATGATGGTGTTGGGAGGGGGGGGGGGGGCAGTCGTGATCAATAAATGTGCATTAAAAACAACGGAAAACAAGAGCCAAATCCCCATTCCTATTGCACACAGACTGCTTCTTCAGTTCTACAAATCCTTGGGAAAACAGTCCATCCATGATGCACGCTGAACCACAGTGCTAAAAAAGCAACAACAACAAAAAACTCCAATGAACCACTAGCCTTTCCTCATCGATTCTGCTTCTCCGCACCAGTCGACAACATCTTTTGTCAAGCTAGCCATGACCAAACTATGACATGTTTATGCTCCTTCTGGAGGATATATCTATCCGCATGTAACAAGACAACAACAAAAAAAGATACCGCACAAAACGATTTGACGATACTAAATGCGATGAGTCACTGACACAGAAACACTCGTCCGTCACATCCCAAAGATGTCAGAAAAAAACTGGTTCCTCAGGACTGCAGAATTCTGGGAATAAAAAAAGATCATAGTATCAATGTGTTAGAAAAATCAAAACAAAATAATCTTATGAATAAATGAATAAATTTCTATGTTTTTATGTTGTTGTTTGGGGGGGGGGGGTGTATGAATTTTACTGCAGTTGCAACACGACTAGGTCATACTTATTTTAAAAAGCAGAGATGAATGAGGATACATCTGGACAGAGTACTGGATAGGTCCTGCTCCATCATAACAGATGACAATGTTTCTGAAGCATTGTCCTACATTTTATGTCCAGAAGTGACAGCAAATGGTGAAATGGTGAAATTGTATGGGTTAAACGCCCCTATCAACACCATGAGGCTATTTAAGAGGCAGGACCTCCGAGTTTAACGTCCATCTCTGAAACGACCAAGCCAAATGGACAAGTCGAAGTGAGCTGAGGCTCGATCCCCCAAACCCGCAATCTCACAACAGAGTCCAGTAGCCTAACCAGTAGGCTACCAAAGTGACAGCATATGTGTCTCGTTAGACTAATGCTTGCCAAAAAACTCCTCCACTGGTTGCAAAAAAGGAGACAAAGGATCAAGTAAATAACAGATTTTAAAAAAAAGAGAGTATGGAAAAAGTAACTCATTGCAGAAACAACAACAAAAAAGGAGAGAGAGAGAGAGTAAAAGGTAACTCAGCGTTAAATAATTTATTTTTTTTAAAGAGAAACAGTAAACTCGCTGTAGAAAATTACTACTTGAACCACCGCTCCCATCACAAACAACTTACTCACATTATGTGATCACACCTGTCATTAGGGGGCAAATCGGACCAGAGTACGAGATGAGCCGTCGTCCTCCACGGAAAAATCTGGCTCCTCGTCGTCACCCGCGGCAGAGTGGCCGTCTCCATAGGGCATGCAGTGGCCTGCCACGTTGCCCATTTCCTGCTGGGGCGAGGCCACCTGCTCTACCACGGGAGGTTTGGGTGGCTGGTAGAACTTGAGGGCCAGGCTGAGGGGGGACAGATTGGTTGACCCAGTAATTACTTGACGGAACCGTCAACTTGTTTTGGTAAGAGTTTTTTTTTGGGGGGGGGGGTTATTTAATAGAGGGTTTTACAGCACTCGCAACTGCATAAGGTCATATGAGCACCAAGGGGTGGGTGTCAACAGAGAAGTCTTTACAGGGAATAAGACTTAGACTGCTCACCTCTCTAGCTTCAACAGCACAAGGTCTGCTTCGACTATCAAGGCACCCCAAAATAGCAGGTCACAAGAGAGTGACAAACATACAAAAGAAGTAGAGGAAAATGACAATAGTAAGGATCAGGAAAGAAAAAGCAGCAGTTCCCTGTTGTAGATCAGGCACAGTTATGAGCGTGACATGAGTCAGCCCATTTACAATTCTACTATGCTTGAACGAGAAATGTCCCCCCTTTGGAAATGGCCTAAAGACACTACAGTCAGTGGCACTGCCCAGGGGGTTGAGCAATTACTTGACGGAACTGTTAACTTGTTTTGGTAAGAGATTTGCCGCACTGGCAACATAATTAGGTCATATAATATAAGTGCTGAAGATTGAAGGTGTTACAAGAGAGAAACAAACAGAAAAAAGGAGGAGGGGAGACATGGACGACAGATGTTTGAATGGAAAGAAAGAGTAAACCACACTAGAGCACCCGCAAACCACCCACAGTTGACATTGTTATTATTCGACAGAACTGTCAACTTAGGTCGTGTAAGCTTCAAAAATAGATTTACTGTCATCCAATAACTATTCGTTTGTGCACATCCGTGAATATAAGTGTGTGTGTGTGTGTGTGTGTGCATGCATGTGTGCATGTGAGCGTGTGTGTGTGTGTATGCGAGTGTGTGTAAGTGTCCTGAGAATGTGTGCGTGTGTGTGTGAGTGTGTTGATGTACCAGTATGCACATGTGTAGTTACTACACTGCAGCAAATTTCTCTTTGTGAAGATCAATAAGATGTTATGAAATCTTATCTTATCCACCTCACTGATTAAAGGAACAAACAGACCTTTTTAACAAATCCTCAGGAAGTATGTTAGAGACTTTTACTTATTCACAATTTTCTAGCACTGATGTTTGAGGCTTGCTGATAAAATTAGTTACTTCTCAAATTTTAGCCCTCCTATAGAAATGGATATGTCAAACTTGTAGCTGAAGTTTGTGCAATTTATAAGTATGAAAATAATAAGAAGACAGTTTAGACGAAAAAATGGCGTCAATTGAAAATCTACAAATTTGACTCCGTTATTGATTTTTGGCCGATATCAAAATCAAATGGATTGAGAGAAGTTACTCATTTGTCAGAGCACCTCATATGTGTTTAACGTTTGACCTCATCAATTCCTTTTATAAAATCAAGGATCTCCCTGGGTTCAATACTGTCAAAGAGAGTTTTAATTAATACCCTTACATTTAAAATATTTCGTACATGCATCAGTAATTTTGTCACATTCCCCCAGAATGTGCAAAAAAATTTTGTTTTCCCTCCTTGAAAGTGTGAAATCCTACACTTATAAATGTGTTTTTGTTTGTCAGTCTCGTTTTTTTCTCCAGCATTAAAATGACTGTTACTGATCATTTACATTAACTCAAAAAGTTACATTTCTTTTGCTGAAAGCATCATCTCCCTGTTATTGCTGCCTTTGGTTTAGCAGTAAGGCTCGTGGCCATTGCATGCAGAAAATTCGAGTTTGATTCTAGATTAGGGAAGCTTTGTATCAAATAATGATAATAAAAATACACAGGTGCAAGTTCAAAGACATTCAAACACCTGAAGAAGTAGGGTGGGAATTTTCAAAAACCTGAAGAAGTAGGGTGGGAATTTTCAAAAACCTGAAAGTCATCGTACAGAAAGATAACAGGAATAGCTTTGAGCCTCAGGGCAGGTTAATAGTACAGGTGGTTTATCCCCAAAGAGCGGATGGGGGGCTTTTTCAGGACTACTCACCTGCTTCAAGACCACCGTTTTGCATGTTTCGTAGTCGCTAGTTTTTAATACACGTACAAGTCAGAAAAAAATTAAGGACTTGAAAATTTGTTTGATAGGTGCACCTTTTGCTACGAGTGTGTGTGTGTGTGTGTGTTTGCCATGTGTGCACTAGACAGTATATATTCAAAACTCAAAACACAAAACCCCAATATTTTTTTTTTATTCAATCAAGACCCAAATATGATCACAACTCAAACACAAACGAGGCTCAACAGCAATATTTTGGACTCACCAGCAAAAGAGTATGGAGAGTCCCTTGCAGGTGACGATGAAGAGGTAGATGCAGATGACCAGAGTGTCGTGATCATAGAGCCAGCAGGAGAGACGCTGACCACATCGCTCTCGCCACGTGTCGCAGTTCAGGTCAAGCAACTTACCCACCAGGATGGGACCCACAAATGAACCTGGAAGATGAAATTTTTTTTCAAAACCTGGCCTCAGAGACTATTTCTTTTTCCCCTCATCTGCCTTTACCTGTCAATCTAGTGAGAAAAAGCTGATTTTTTTGATTTTTTAAATCTTATTAGTAAGGTTTTACGGCGCTCGCAACTGCATAAGGTCATATGAGTGCCAAGGGGTCAAGGTCAACAGAGAAAGCCAAACGGGGAATCAGGCTTACTCTGCTCACCTCTCTAGCATCAACAGCACAAAGTCTGCTTCGACTATCAAAACACCCTGGAAATAACAGTTCACAAGAAAGTGACAAACATACAAAAGGAGGTAAAGGAAAATGGGGATAGTGAGGATGAGGAAAGAAAAAGCAGCAGTTCCCCCTATGTTGTGTCAGGACAGTATGAGCATGACATTGATAAATCTGCCCATTTACAATTCTACTGTGCATATGAAAACGTTAATATCCCCCCTTTTGGGAAAGGCCTAAAGACACTTCAGTGAGTAGCACTGCCTTGGTGGGGGATCAATCTGCTTTCTGCCTCCCTTCCAACATTTCTGCAGGCATGCTACAGCCGATTTTTTAGCAGACCTCCATCATCGATGCTTTGTTTTGGTCAAGTTCCCCCAACAAGGTAGAGCAACAAGAATAATAATAACAATAATAATAATAGATTACATTTATACAGTGCTCTATCCCATACGAGTATATGGCTGCTTTTAAGCACAAGGGGGCTATCCGAAAAATGCTGTTTTGAGAAAATCGAAGGTTTTTGCCCCTTGTTCAGTTTCTTTAAAAGACAATGACAGTTTTCTCTGTAACCAAACAAATATACAAACCAATGAAACCAAACTTCTCCTATTGGTAGGGCAATGCCCACTTTTGGTGTAGGCCAAGATTTCTGGAAACCCCTGAAATCTGGGTTAGCCCACTTGTCCTTAAGAGTGACCATATGCTCAGAGCCCTTTACATCAATCACACGATCACTGAGTGCTTCACACAGGATAAAATATTTCACAGTAACAAGAAAAACCAGTTCAACCACATAAAAAAGAACTTTTCACAACCATATATTAATTATATACACTTAAGGACAGCAGTAAAAATTAAAAACATAACAGCACTTACTAACACACTATAACTAAGAATTAAACAAATGAGTCTTGAGCAACCACTTAAACGTATTAAGATTTGTTATTTCTCTGAGATACAGTCAAGTCTGCATACACCCAACACAAGTTAATCAGAAAACAGTACGTTTACGTAAACCGATCACGACTAACCCGTAAACACTGGTAAACCAAACGAAAATAAATGGAATCCTCCAATGTTTCTCTTTGCTATTTGAGCACTGTCTATAAGCTGAAAACACAACTAAACTTAATGGACTCGGGAAGTCCCACAAAATTTGGTGAAAATGGTGGTATGGGTTCAACGCCCCACCTGCCCCTCTGACCTTTCCACAATCGACCACCCCTTCCAACACCCCCC